TAAGAAATCTATATTTTCTCTTTGTCTAAAACCCTTGGCAACAAGGAGAGCCTTGTATTTATCAATAGTTCCATTAGGTTTTAGTTTCTTTTTCAAAACCCATTTACAACTGAGTGGTTTGTAACCAGGAGGCAAGTTTACTAAGTTCCAGGTCTTGTTAGATTCTAGAGATTCAATCTCATCATTGGTAGCTTCTTGCCATAAATCAGCATCCAGAGATGACAAGGCTTCTTGAAGATTCATTGGATCTTCTTCTACATTATAAGCCGCATAATCAGGCTCATAGTATTTAGCAACTCTTACTTGTTTACTTCGTCGAATTTCAGTTTCTACATTGTCATTGCTTTTTGTGCTTCTTATCACAGGAATGTGACTCGATTATGTTCCCCCACTATTTCTCAATTTGAAAGGAAATTTGTCTTCATAGAATTCAACACCATTTGATTCTATGATCACTTTTGCCTTTAGGTCATAAAACCTATATGCTTTATTGTTTGCTGCATACCCAATGAAAATACATTCATATGCTCTCCTAGCGAGTTTAACTCGTTTCGAATCTGGAATTCTGATATAAGCCATACAGCTCCAAGTTCTCAAATAAGATAATTTTTGTTGTCTTTTCTTTAATATCTCATAAGGATAGATCTTACATTTTGACTTGGGGACTCTATTTAGGACATAACAAACAGTCAATAAAATTTCTCCCCACCAGTGAGGTGCAGCACCAGAATTCATCATAATTGCAACAACAAGTTCAGTAAGAGTCCTATTCTTTCTTTCTGCTTTACCATTCATTGCAAGATAGTATGGCACAGTCATTTCATGTACAATTCCATGTATAAAATTCATTAATAAACTAGAATCATACAATTTTTCTATCACTATAAATTCTTATTATATCATTTTCAAATTCTTTACAAAAATTTTAAACATATAAACTTCATTATTCGTAATGGCGTACAAATCTACCCCAATAGACTGACTAAACCCTGTCTTATTTAAAAGAAAACCAGAAACATTATTCTTTCTAATCTTAGGAACATGCATAACATTCTTTAAGATTAAAGTCTTTTTGAAGTTGAAATTTAGCTCCATGACTACAATTCCAACAACATTCGTGGTCTGGCCATCTCCCAACAACACTTTCTTATCTTTAGTATACGTGTATGTTTTAAACATAACATGATCATAATAGACACAACGAGAGACGCGAGTGTCTATCCACCAACCAACATATCCATCAACCATGTTGATTTCAATGACTATAGCAATAAATTGTGAAGGAAAATTGCGATCAAAACGCAGCGGAATATAAAATTTTCCTTTAGAGATCCTTACAAATGAGCATGGTCAGTGATAGAAAGTTTTACCTCTTGTGGCGATTCAGACCTTTGATGTCATGATCACGAGCGTTGATGAAGAACAACGCCTCTACTCAGTCCACACGAACAGATCGCTTCCGGTCACAGTGCTAGCTGATCACGAACGGAAACCTTGAGTGAGAGAGAGAGTCAAAAACGAAAATGCATCAAGTGAAAAAACTTCATCACAAGGGATCTATTTATAGAATCACTCGTGTGGGAATCAAGCTAAAAGCCCAATTAAGGCTATAAGCTAAAAGCCCAATTAAGCTTATGGACATCATACCTTATGATGTACCATATATCACTTATCCACGTGGTACCTTACCACTTTCCGTATTACACTTAAGTGCACCGTACCTTACAGTGTTCCTTATTTATTCTATCTCTCATCAACCTGTCCTTATGTGTGTGACCCTGTAGGTTTTCGCGACGTTGGCAATTATATTAAATTACACATTTAATATAATAAACAGTGAGCGGTATCTAGCAACACATCACTGTTACCCAAGTCACGAAAATGTCATGTGATCTGACCAAACCTTTTCCGTGATAATATTTGTGTTGTACAATTACCCTTTTGCCCTCATGTCTATATTGAACACAAGGCATACACTGTGTCACCCTTGTCCAGTTCAATATTGGGCCCTTAGACATTTATCCTGTTATGCAGGATGAGCAAATTCCATCTAGGTCACTCATGTCCCTTAGCATGCTTTGTGAAGTACCCATCAACCATCTTTATAGTCATCCAGTTACGGATGACGTTTGATCAGCAATAAAGTACTTGACTCTACATCTAGGGTCCATAGTGGTTTCAGGTCGAAGGGTGGTATACACCATTATCATCATGAGAATAACTTATGACACTTTGCATAACATTCTATGTAGTATTCTCATAACGGGTCAATCCAGTATAAATATTACTCCTAATATTCATACCTATGTCAAGACTTGATAACTCCTTATCTATGATCCATGAGATGTGATCATCAATCTATCTTCATAATAATCTTAATGCTTTAATGTTATCCCACTTCACATTAAAGCTTGACTACGGATACTTTAAGAATAGTTTCTTATGTTTAATGGGATCTCATGATTAAGTCACACTTAACATTTCATTAAACCAATAAACCATTCTAGGGACTTTATTATTTTTGAAAACATAATAAAGAAATGCCTTTTATTATTAATAAATAATTCGATACAAGTACCAAAAATATTGGCCTCTAGGGCTTACACCAACAAATTGCCCCTTAGTTAGGTTGACCTGTGCATTAGGCACAACACCAAGTTCAAGCTTACTTCTACATTTCTTAGTCATATGACTTGATTTTCCATAGCTAAAACAAAGGGAAACCAACATCATTTCTTTTAGGTGGTGGTTGTTGCCTAGTTGGAGCTATTGGGATCATAGAAAAGTTCCCATTCTTAATTCGGTTCACAATATTGCGGTTCTGATTCTTTAATTATTTTCCAAATGGCTTCAGAACTACACCAAATTTCTTTTTGTTGTTTGAAACAACCAAGACTTTTTCTTTTTGATATTGTCTCTAAGATTTTCTTTTTTTTAAAACATTCAAACTATGGGGTAGTTTGTCAATAATAAAACCAATTTGAAATTGTTCATTTAAACACATACCTTTTGTGATGATCTTTTAAGAAATCTTTTGAAGTTCGTAACATTGAGCCTCTATCGACCTTACATCTTTGCATTTGACACTTGAAGTAGCGACTAACAACATACTTCTTTGCTCTAGCTTCTATGCCATACTTCTTTTTGAGTCTCTCAATTTTATTTTGCAGTATCACATCAACTGTAATTATCATACAGATCTTCTGCGAGTCTATTCAAAATATGATTTTGTAGAAATTTTCATTCTCTTTCTATAAAGTGATTTCTTTCCTATGTTGTAAATCGTTCGCTTTAATCTGTGCAGTAGATTCAACTTCAACACTATTAAGTGTTCCTTCTAAATCTCCAGATTTACTATCGTTAGTTTGTTCGATTGATCCAGAAGGAGCAACAGAATGTCATCGATTAGAACGTTAGCAACTTTTTTTCAATGTTAAGAATTTCATCTTTTGTTGCCAACGTTTGAAGTGACTTCCCTCAAACATGAACGATTTCTCAAAGACAATATCTGCAAAAGAACCAATAATTTTTTCGGTAGCCATGGCAGTTTGAAACGTCTTAAAATTGTTGTTTTCGAATTTTGAAATATTTACCACCGAAGAAATTACCAGGTTGAGTCGCAGACTAGGTTGCTCTCTTTAAGACGTTTCGCGGCACTGCTCAAAATTATACAAAGCAGTCAAACTACCGCGTCGCCTCTAGGATAAAACAGCTCAGTTCTATACTGTACGATTACTACTCGCATGGTAGATAATCGGTCTAAAAATACACCCTCTAATGGTACAAGACGATTCAAATATGATATCAACACCACTCATAGTATATGGTACAAATATCAGTCATAATAATTTCTCAAACAAAAAGAAACTCAAATAGTTCTCCAAAGAGAAATTAATAATGCTCATTTGACCACTCATAATAATTTCTTCAACAAAGAAATTCAAATAATTCTCCAAAGAGAATCCAAAAGATTAAATAAATACTCGGAAAATTCAACGAGTAGGAAGAAAGGGGAAGAAGATGGCGCTTCGACAATTCGAGAGACACAAAGTTATGAGAGTGAGGAAGAAAAAACTAATAGAATAGTTTTTGATGTGATTTGGTATGAAACATGTGCACTCCTTATATAGTGAAATAAGGTAGTTAATATTTCTCACATGAGCAATATGAAACTAAATGGTTTTTTCAATAAAAAAGATATTCTAACAACGTGAGACTTGAGAAATTTTTAAATTCAAACATATTAAAACATGGACATGTTGCAACAGTTGAAAATTCTTGATTCAAATCATACCGACTAGACATTCTTGATTCGAGTCATAAACATCATGATTTGAATTAATCTGCATTGACTTTTAATCAAACAGGTAAACCCCTGCTGCACTAAAAACTTTTTATGCATAGAAAATAACCATTTTAAGGAGATGTGCAAGATTACTTATTGTGAAATACTCAATTACTAAATAGTAAACATAATGGCAAGAAACAAAACACCCTACAGAAATAAGGATATCTTACGAGATAGTTCACATAGAACTAGTCAAAATTCAAGGGAGTCGATTACAAGGAAATGACACAATTTAGGCTACATTACAAGCTAAGGATGCAACTCAAAATAAGAAAAATCAAAAAGCATTACAATCTAAGGAAATTGTTCAATCTCAAAAGGCTTTTCAAGAACAGGACAACCAACAAACAATAGAAAGAAACAAAAGATCAAATTTCAAATCACAAAACAATACATACTAAACATAGACTCCACACTCAAGAACAAATTATAGAGCCATTTCAAGATCAAGAGCATGAATTACACATATTAGAACAATCAAACCAGGATCAAAAGATAAAACCTGAGGTGACTGAACAGAATGCACAAAAGTTTATATTCTAATGTTTCAACACTCTTGTGCGGTTTCTTTGATGCATGAAATTTCTTGTTAGCATCGAACATATTTTGTCTATACATATATATTTATACCGAATAATATTTTTGTATATGATTAATAATGGAATACAAATATGTCATATTCCACAACAGCATCTCCCGTGGTGAAATCAACAGAAAAAAACTTAGCCTGAGCATATCCACGAACAAAACGAAAAGCTCCAGTCCCACCAACAATGGCCATTTCTCTAACAGGCTCACTCATGATCATGTTCCTCCCTAATATGCTAAGTGTGCTTCCATTAAATTCTCCATTCGAAAACGCCATAGTCATCACCATCATTAGTCCCATCTCTTCTTGTGATATAGAAGTGTAAATTCCTTGGGCCTTGCCTACAAGTTTTGAGTCACGTTCGGGTCCGGCTGTTAACGGATCGTCCATCGCCACAACTGTCCCGAATGGCAAGGCATTTTTTGCCTTGCCATTAGGTTCGGCTACAAATACCATGCTCGGTTTTGGGCCGGTGACGATGTCGTGAAAGTAAAAGTGAAGGTGGGTGAATTTTTCCTCTTGAAAACCTAACATTGTTGGGGACAGGCTTTGATAGTATTTAGTGGCAGTGGCAAAGGATATTATAGAGATGAAAAATGTTATGGAGAATGATGAAGATTTTGCCATGGTTGATGAGAAAGAACTAAGAACGCTTATTTCTATGGAATTGTTTTTTTAGATATGATCTATGGTTTATTTCTATTTGTTTTGATCCATGTCTCTTTATAATATATGTGAGGCTGTTTTATTCATTTGTCTTTTAGTATTGGAATTTAATAATTGAGAATAATCTTCATATATAGTTAGTGTAAAGTTTTTTTTATACATTCAACCAATAAAAAATCAATAATATATCACATTATTAAAAACATTTAAAATTAAAAATAAAATATAATTAAATATATAATTATGACTGATTGACAATATAAAATTATTTTACACTATCGATATATAACTCTTTTTCTTTTAATAATTTAGTCAAGATGCTATTATTGTCTCAAGCTGGAAAAAGGATTACGTCACAAACATAGAGGTTGGTGTGTTAAGGTTTTTGAGCCAGGGATAAATAAAGTGGAACATTTTTAAAAACATTTGTGAGCAAAACAAGCATAAGAGAAATACAGTGGAAAAACTATAAATATTTTGATCTGGTTGTAAACTATATTCTGCCGACACCTTTTAAATTAAGCGTATATGTGTCTCTTCAAAGTCAAACACTTATACTCACATTTATATTTACGTTTAACTTTTTTCTTTAAATTATTATTGCTGTATTAATATCAAGGTCGTGTTTGAGGTGACCGTACTTGTTGGAACATGTCTATGTTCCAATACGTTGAATTTAAAAATCTCTCAAATCTCACATTGTTAGAATATCTTTTTAGTTAAAAAATCATTTAGTCTCACATTACTCATGTGAGAAATATTAACTAGCTTACTTCAATATATAAGGAGTGCACATGTTTCATTCCAAATCACACCAAAAACTATCCTATTAATTTTTTCCTTCCTCACTCTCATAACTTTGCGTCTCTCGAATTGTCGAAGCGCCATCTTCTTCCTCTTTCTTCCTACTTGTTGGATTCTCTTTGGAGAATTATTTGAATTTCACTTTGATGGAGAAATTATTATGAATGGTCAAATAACCATTATTAATTTCTCTTTGAAGAATTATTTGAATTTCTTTTTGTTTGAGAAATTATTATGATTGGTCTTTGTACCAGATACTATGAGTGGTGTTGATACCATATTTGAATGGTCGTGTACCATCAGAGGGTGTATTTCTAGACCGATTGTCTACCATGTAAGTAGTAATTGTACAATATATATAGAACAGAGTTGTCTTATCCTGGAGGCGGCGCAGTAGTTCGTCTGCTTTGCATAATTTTGAGCAGTGTCGCAAAACGTCTTAAAGAGAGCGACCTAGTCCACGACTTAACCTTGTAATTTCTTCGGTGGAAAATATTTCAAAATCCGAAAACAATAATTTTAAGACGTTTCAAACTGCCATGGCCACCGAAGAAATTATTGGTTCTTTTGCGGATATTGTCTTTGAGAAATCGTTCATGTTTGAGGGAAGTCACTTCAAACGTTGGCAACAAAAGATGAAGTTCTTAACGTTGAAAAAAAGTTGCTAACATTCTGATCGATGATATTTTGTTGCTCCTTCTGGATCAATCGAACAAACTAACGGTAGTAAATCTGGAGATTTAGAAGGAACACTTAATAGTGTTGAAGTTGAATCTGCTGCACAGATTAAAGCGAACGATTTACAGCATAGGAAAGAAATCACCTTAGAGAAAGAGAATAAAAATCTCTACAAAATCATATTTTGAATATAATCGCAAATGATCTGTATGATGATTACAGTTGATGTGATACTGTAAAATAAGATTGAGAGACTCGGAAAAAGAAGTATGACGTAGAAGCTGGAGCAAAGAAGTATGTTGTTAGCCGCTACTTCAAGTATCAAATGCAAATATGTAAGGTCAATGGAGGCTCAATGTTACGAACTTCAAAATATTGCTTAAAAGATCATCACAAAAGGTATGTGTTTAAATGAACAATTTCAAATTGGTTTTATTATTGACAAACTACCCCATAGTTTGAATGTATACAAAAAAGGGAATCTTAGAGACAATATCAAAAAGAAAAAGTCTTGGTTGTTTCAAACAACAAAAAGAAATTTGGTGTAGTTCTGAAGCCATTTGGCAAATGATTAAAGAATCAGAACTGCAATATTGTGAACCGAATTAAGAATGAGAACCCTTCTATGATCCCAATAGCTCCAACTAGGCAACAACTACCACCTAAAAGAAATGACGTTGGTTTTCCTTTGTTTTAACTATGGAAAATCAAGTCATATGACTAAGAAATGTAGAAGTAAGCTTGAACTTGGTGTTGTCCCTAATGCACAGGTCAACCTGACTAATGGGAAATTTATTGCTATAGTAATTGAAATCAACATGGTTGATGGATATGTTGGTTGGTGGATAGACACCTGTGTCTCTCGTTGTGTCTGTTATGATCAGGTTATGTTTAAAACATACACGAATATTAAAGATAAGAAAGTGTTGTTGGGAGATGGCCAGACCATGAATGTTGTTGGAATTGTAGACATGGAGCTAAATTTCACCTTCAAAAAGACTTTAATCTTAAAGAACGTTATGCATGTTCCTAAGATTAGAAAGAATATTGTTTTTGGTTTTCTTTTAAATAAGACAAGGTTTAGTCAGTCTATTGGGGTAGATTTGTACGCCATTACGAAGAATGAAGTTTATATGTTTAAAAATTTTGTAAAGAATTTGAAAATGATATAATAAGAATTTATAGTGATAGAGAAATTGTATGATTCTAGTTTATTAATGAATTTTATACATGGAATTGTACATGAAAAAATTGCACCATACTATCTTGCAATGAATGGTAAAGCAGAAAGAAAGAATAGAACTTTTACTGAACTTGTTATTGCAATTATGATAAATTCTGGTGGTGCACCTCACTGGTGGGGGGAAATTTTATTGACTGTTTGTTATGTCCTGAATAGAGTTCCCAAGTCAAAATGTAAGATCCCTCCTTATGAGATATTAAAGAAAAGACAACCAAACTTGTCTTATTTGAGAACTTGGGGATGTCCGGCTTATGTCAGAATTCTGGATCCGAAACGAGTTAAACTCGCTAGTAGAGCATATGAATATGTTTTCATTAGGTATGCAGCAAATAATAATGCATATAGGTTTTATGACCTAAAGGCAAAAGTGATCATAGAATCAAATGATGCTGAATTCTATGAAGACAAATTTCCTTTCAAATTGAGAAATAGTGGGGGCACACAATCGAGTCACATTCCTGTGATAAGAAGCACAGAAAACAACAATAATGTAGAAACTGAACTTCGACGAAGTAAACGAGTAAGAGTTGCTAAAGACTATGGGCCTGATTATGCGGCTTATAATGTAGAAGAAGATCCAATGAATCTTCAAGAAGCCTTGTCATCTCTGGATGCTGATTTATGGAAAGAAGCTATCAATGATGAAATAGAATCTCTAGAATCTAACAAGACCTGGTACTTAGTAGACTTTCCTCCTGGTTGCAAACCAATCAGTTGCAAATGGGTTTTGAAAAAGAAACTAAAACCTAATGGAACTATTGATAAATACAAGGCTCGCCTTGTTGCCAAGGGTTTTAGACAAATAGAAAATATAGATTTCTTCGACACCTTTTCTCCTGTCACTAGAATTACATCCATTAGGGTACTTATTTCAATAGCTACTATTTATAACTTAATAGTACACCAAATGGATGTTAAAACAACTTTTTTAAACGTTGACTTAGAAGAAGAAATCTATATGAAACAACCGGAAGGGTTTGTGATCCATGGACAAGAAAACAAGGTTTGTAAGTTAGATAAGTCTTTGTATGGGCTAAAATAAGCTCCAAAGCAATGTCATGTAAAAGTTGATAACTTAATGATATCGAATGAGTACAAAGTGAATGAAAGTGACAAATACGTTTATTAAAAATTTGAGAATTACATTTGAACTATGATATGTATATATGTAGACGATCTACTCATATTTGGATCAAACATTCAAGCCATTAATGATATGAAATCATTGTTGTGCAATAACTTTGATATGAAAGACCTCGGAGAAGCGAGTGTGATTATTGGTATCAAGATCACGAGATCCGAGCAAGGAATTTCTTTGGATCATTCACAATATGGGAAAAAGATCTTAAAGAAATATAATTACTTTGACAGTAAACCTGTGAGCACACCAAATGATCCAAGCTTGAAGCTGTTTAAGAACACTGGTGAAAGTGTTAGACAAACAGAATATGTGAGCATTATTGGAAGTCTTAGGTATTCCATTGATTGTACTAAACCTGACATTGCATATGTCGTGGGATTGTTGTGCGAGTTTACTAGTAGACTGAGTAATGAATATTGACAAGCTATTGAGCGAGTCATACGGTACCTTAAAAGGACCATGAATCTCAGTTTACATTATCAGAGATTTCCTATTGTACTTGAAAGATACAATGATGCAGATTGGAATATCTTATCAGATGATTCCAAAACAACTAGTGGCTATGTATTCAACATATCTAGAGGAGTTGTATCTTGGAAATCAAAGAAACATATTATTCTGGGAATATAGTATTAAGGACTGCTAGTGAAGAAGCAAGTTGGTTAAGATGCTTGCTAACTGAGATTCCCTTATGGGAAAAACATATGTTAATTGTGTTGATCCACTCCAATAGTACCATGACTATTGCAAAAAACGAGAACCGTTATTATAATGGTAAAAGACTTCAAGTTAGAAGAAATCACAACACTGTTAGAGATTGTATCTCTAAAGGAGTTGTAAGAGTGGATCAGTACGCACTGATGAAAATTTAGCATATCCTTTGACGAAAGGATTAGCTAAAGAGAAATTCTATAATACATCATATAAGATGAGACTAATACCTATAGGAAAATGATTTTCTCATGATGGTAACCCGACCTAAATGATTGGAGATCTCAAGAAATAGGTTCAATGGGTAACAACAAGTTGTGAGTAATATGAGATGATCATGCAAGTAAAGCATGAATCCTGAAGTAATAAGAGGATGAGATAATA